CCCTTAAGTGAATGTGTGTCAGTCTGAATTGACGCTGTTGGTGTCAGTCTGAATTGACGCTGTTTGGCATCACACAACGCGTTATGAAAGTTTCTCTGGTATAACATGGGTGATGTTAGCCATAGCAACCGAAGCTAAACGGACTACTTGCTAAGGCAGTTTTCTACAGGCAATTTTTACCGACGTATTTTTCATTATGATTTCTACTTGTGATAGTCGGGACATGACAACCTGTGCAGCCCATGTATTGATTCCATCCGATAGCTGCTATAATAACAAACGGTCTGCCTGCTCTCCACAATGATCAATAACAGCGAACGGATGGTCAAAGTAAGGTACAAATAAACAGAATCACACGAAGCCTGGTTAGTGTTGCCTGCACTTTATAAAGTGTGTTTTTTTTAACAAGTGTTTGTGGGTTGCGTCTAGTCACTCTTGCTCAGCACTAATGCTTGTTACAACTTTTATTTGCCGTACTCGCCTTAAGGTTAGCTCAGGTTAATCTCGCCCCCCCTCCGACGTTAGGTGACGTATGCGGTTCTTGCTTCTAGACGGACAACTTTTTGGTGCTCGAAACGAACGGATTCCGGAGCTATGACGCTGCTCCGCTGCGGTCTGTGAACAGGAAAACCCGGTGCTTTTCAAGCACCAGCACCGAACCGGCCCTGAAACACCGTTGGTGTGAAAGGGGTATCTGAGAAGAGTTTCAGAGAACCAGACCACCATGGGAGAAAACCTTCACTAGTGCACTGAGACTGTTCAGAAAGAGTGAGGTGGACTGTTTGACACAACTCACTGTTAAAAGATGTTGTGTGGGATTTTAAAAGTTGTTTCAAATGTTCTCAATAATATTCAAATGCATTGCACTTCAGTTTGCAACTTGTATTTTTTTCCACAGCAAAAACACACACAAAGCTCCCTAAAGAACAAGGCACCACAGTCACTTAAATGTAATAATGTTATAAATATGTGGTAATTGAACAACAAGCTAAAGCCTACTGATTTCTAAAAGTGTGTGTATTGAGCCTTTAGTCTCATATAAGCTAGATAGAGCGTCGCTTTGAACCATAAACTATTACCAATGCTGACTGTACTCATTCAGGCCATTTTACCCTCAGAAAGAGGTTCCACAGGGGTCTATCCTTGGTCCATTCATGTTTACATTAGATGTTACATAACTTTTTCCAGTAGCCACACTTTCTCCTCGACCTTTTCTCTGTTGGGGAGGTTTGTTAAGGCTCTAAAGGGCCTAGACCCCAATAAATCAGCAGGCCCAGACGATCTCCCCCCTTGTTTCTTACGTCTAGCTGCAGATATTATAGCCCAACCAGTGTGTCATGTTTTTTAATCTTTCTATAACAAACAATGTCATTCCAGATGTTTGGAAAACTGCAAATGTTCTCCCCTTATTGAAAGGTGGTGATTCCATGCTGATGAATAATTACAGACCAATTTCCAAGCTCTCTATTTTAGCTAAAGTACTTGAAAGGCTGGTGAATGATCAAATCAAAGAATATTTAAGCTTGAACAACATTCTATCTCCTCACCAGTCAGGCTTTAGGAAGCAGCACAGTACAGTAACAGCTGCTTTGAAAGTAGTGAATGACATTGTGAAGGCTTGGACGCAAAGAGCTACTGTGCTGCCCTTTTTATAGTCTTATCCAAGGCATTTGATACTGTGGACCATGGCATTTTATGCCAGAAGTTATCCCATATAGGCCTGTCTGACCTAGCTGTTGGTGGTTTTCAAACTATCTTTCAAATTGCAAGCAATGTGTACAATTCAGCGGTCTCTCCTCAAGCTTTCTTAATGTGCCCAGAGGTGTTCCTCAAGGTTCGGTCTTGGGACCCACCCTGTTTACAATTTATATAAATGATGGTGCATCAAAATATTGATGCCTCTGTACATATATATGCAGATGATACTGATCTATACTGTTGTGCTAGCACTGCCGCCCTTGCATTTGAACGTCTGCAGTCTGCTTTTGACACTTTACAGTCACACCTTTTCCACCTCAGGTTGGTGTTGAATTCAGACAAGACAAAAGTCATGTTGTTTTCCAAGAAGAAAAAGTTACCAACTGTTCTTCCTCGCATCCTGTCTGCCCAGCATAACCCCATTGAAGCTTTTCACACCTACAGAAACTTGACTATTGACTATCTATGACTACTAAGATTGGACTATCTTTAAGGAAACTGATATTTAAAACTGGGATTCTTTTTTAGAAAACAAGGCCTGCTTCTCCACAAGTGCTAGGAAACGGCTTGGAGCTGCCAACATGTTTCCCGCTCTTGGACTACGGCGGATGTTGTGTACATGAACGCCTCAGCTCACTCCCTTCATCTGCTGGACGCTGTTTACCATGGGGCTCTGAGGTTCATAACCAACTGTAAACCCCTCACACACCATTGCACACTGTACTCTTTAGTTAACTGGACATTCACTATCAATCGGCAGATCTCTGCACTGGTACAAATTAATCTATACCGCTATGCTTGGACTGCTGCCCCTCTACATATCACACAAACAGTACAGCTATAGACTCCGATCTCAAAATTACATCACTCTGTCCGTCCCCCTCAGTATGCACGGAGCTTGGGAAAAAAGTGTTACCACTGATCAGGGGCCTCATTTATAACGCCTTGCGTAAGATTGACGTGGAAAGGTTGCTTACGTAGGACCAGTGGCGTTTTTATATGTACAAAAGTGGTGGGGCACAAAAAACTTAGATGTCTATATATAAGCTTCTGCAGTGACGTGCAGTGAGGTTCATGGCTGGTGAGGCACTGGCACTGACTCTTCAGGTTTACAAATATTATATTTTGACCTAAACCAAAATATAATATTATTTTCAAAAGCTTTTTTTGTCTGATGCTTCGATTAATTTTAAACAGGACAGTTCAACAAAAGGATACCCAAAAAATGTCATTTTATCATTTAAATATTGAATTGTTCTTCTCTTAGTAAGATCCCATTTTTCAATAAAATGGCGGTCTTACCTTGACTTGAAGATGAAGTCCATTTGCCTATCCTTCTGGACAAACATTTCTATTACTTTTTTGTAAAAGTCATCCTTATGTTCTTGTAGTTTCAAAGTCTATCCATAAATCTAATCCATAGATTTATGATAAAAAAATTATATAAGTAGGGTAGACATGTGGATGTTATCGGCTAATCAAAACGTGCATTTATCTAACAGGTACGTTTCCCACAGATCTTATTTCGAGCTATTTTCTAAAATCCTCTGGAGAAATCTCATTGCTTTTTTGTGCTTACTTCCTGGTTTTAGGACGCGCCCCTGCAGCTCTCTCGTCTTCCTCTTCACACAGCACACTTTTCGCGGCACACGTACTTACAGCCAATCAGCTCTGAATGATTTGAGATGACGTATGGCGGGGATGGTAGCTCCATGCCCCCCTCTGGTCATTATTTTTTTGCCACACACATTTCATTACAAAATACTCTGAGCATGCGCAGTGAAGTTTTTACAGTCACCGTTGACTTCACAGCGAGAGGGAAGCGGCATATCAGGTTTTGTCCCACATGGCTCTAAACAGCTTCAATAGGCACACACTGTGACTGTAGACACACTAATTAGAAGAACACAGACTAAAACAGCAATGTACAGACGAATCAGATGATTAACATGATCTTAAAATATATTTTATATATTTTTTTATTTATTTTTTTGCATTTTTGTAATCATTATTTGTAATACTTTCTGCTGACACTAGTCAGCTAATGACCAGTCGCCACTGCGTAGGACAAAGCAAAAAAAATAGGTCCAGACATTTTCCGCTATTTTCCGATTCACAAAACATTGCGTACCGGAGAGGGAAGTGCGTACGGCACTTCCTACGCCCTGTTTCCCTTTATAAATCACAGTCGACTCGTAACGCCCATATTTGCCTATAAATAGTCAAATAACGCCCATTCATTCATTCATTTTGACTGACTGCATGAAGAAGATCGCAGGAAAAAGTTAATGACAAAAAAAATACCACATAACCTTCCTCAGGCAGTTGTGTTTGTCCCGAGGACAGCAGACACCCCCTTGATGAGAAACTGTAAGAAATGATCGGGGAATCCCTCCGGAGTGGAGTCATGACGACTGGATCTGAATTATTTTTGTTGTATTTGGTGGTTTGTGTTCCAGCTGTCGATCAGCAACTATATATCCATAATTCACCAGTTAAAGGAAATACAACTAATGTGTTGTGTTATATTAGCTGTACAATTTACCCACATATGGTGTTCCTTAGTTTCCATACACTCCTGTGTTTTACGAGCGACTTATCAAGTCTTGGCAAACGGCATATAAACACGATTTAAACGTATATAAAACCATGCTCGTATCTACAACCTATAGAAATGCAAAACGGCGTCAGTTTAGACGTTATTCTTTCCTCCTGCTTACCGCATTCATTTATGAGAAAACATTTTACAGAACATTAACACAACATATTCGAGGTGGTTTTAAATAAATATCCGTTATTTATTTATTTCTCCAAGTTATATTTTTTTGTGTGCACTGAGGAGTCTCAAACAGGCGTTTTGTTTAATCCTTTTTAAATGATTGGCTTTAATCAATGTTTTGAAAATAAATTCTTCATATTTGATAAATAAGACCAGGTAACATTTTCTTTATGGTATTATTTCCACATATTTCTCTCCATTCTTCCTTCTGGCCAACGGTTGTTCGCAGTTTCTCGTCTCTCCCGTTTTGTGTGCTTAGTGCGTACTCATGGGTTAGAGTTTGCGTGGAGGACCCTTCTTATTATACATCCATTGGGAGGGACTGCACCATTTTCCCCGTCAAGTTAGTATTTTGTAAATCGCAAAACATTGCGTAGAAACTGGCGTACGCCATTTTTTTGAGCGTATATCCCTTATAAATGAGGCCCCAGAGCCCGACTGGTGCTGCGTCATTGCGTCTTCGTTTTGCGTCATGACGTAACCGTTTGCGTGCCTGCTTCATAGAGCCAAACCGCGCGGAAACCCCTCACATCGACAACAACAACAATGGCCGATTGTATTGAAGCGCTACTCGTTTTGGTTTTGCTCTGTCGAAACTAAATGGAACACATGGGACCCTTTTACTACCAACTTTACAGTCGTTACATCAGGGATGCAAACTCATCAGGTATGAAAAAGGTGACAAAGGATCCGAGCCCCCCGACCCCACGGAATATCGGCTTTTAAAATGAGGAATAACAGGATTTTAGCAGTCGGAACAACTAAAGCAGTTAATAACAGAAACGCCAAAGAGTCACATCTAATAGAAATGTATATAAAAGCATTTATTTGAATTGTGTAGCAGTCAGTTTATAATTTTGGCAGCACTGTTGAGCATTTTGAAAATGTATTTTCATGCCTCTGTGCAAGCTTAGTCTTTCTATCTGTATAGCCAGTGGTTTGTAAAGTAAACTAAGTTCATAAACTCAACAAGGACTATACTTGGGTACAATTTTGAGATACTTTATTTAAGTATTTCAATGTGTTGCTACTTTGTTCTTCTACTCCACTACAGTTCAGAGGTAAATGGTGTACTACTACATGTATTTAATACCTTTAGTTACTTTACAGATGTGGATGAATGATGTGAAATATAATCAAGTGTTAAATCAGACTTTAGTTCCACCTGGAGTAAATTCACAAGGCTACCCTGCAGTATACAAAGTCATTCAAACTAGCTGCACCTTTACCAGCTTTGAGAACACTTTCATGATCAATCATTATAAAACATATCATATATATTATTCTGAAATGGACCAATCTGCACAATGACTACTTTTACTGTCGCTACTTGAACTATATTTTGATGAGAATACTTTTTGACTTTTACTTGAGGAACATTTTGAATGCAGGACTTCCTACTTTCTACTTTTACTCAAGTACAAGACCTGAGTACTTCTACTTTTACTCAAGTACAAGACATGAGTACTTCTACTTTTACTCAAGTACAAGACCTGAGTACTTCTACTTTTACTCAAGTACAAGACCTGAGTACTTCTACTTTTACTCAAGTACAAGACATGAGTACTTCTACTTTTACTCAAGTACAAGACCTGAGTACTTCTACTTTACTCAAGTACAAGATCTGAGTACTTTTACTCAAGAACAAGACCTGAGTACTTCTACTTTTACTCTAGTACAAGATCTGAGTACTTCTACTTTTACTCAAGTACAAGATATATACTTATACCACCTCCGTTTATAGCCTATGAAAAAGCTATTTGAAAACGAAGGCTAAAGCTAACGTTAGCAGATAGTGACAATGTATGCTAGTAGCTAGCTCAACGATAATATTGCGACAGGAAAACTTTTCAGTGCACATCACGCTCTGCCGCTCCGACAGGGAGCTCTGATTTGAACACCTGAACGGCCCCGTTCTAACAGCTATTCACCAGCGGTCCAGTCTGTGCCACAGTGACTCCGGACCCCGCACAGTTAATATTAACAAACGCACCCGTAGGTAATGTAGCTGCTGAAGCTAGACCCTCATCCCGGAGCAGCAGAGCCTTATTATACATCCATGAGCAGAGCCGACAGGCAGGAAGACTCTAGCACACAGCTCGCGCTTCATTATAATATATAAAAAAAGAACACCATGCGTGTCATGATGGCACATAACAGCTCGCGGCCGCAGATTACTCCGGGTCCCAGACCCCCCCCCCATACCCCAAACATATTTTTATTGCAGATCTACATGAATCACACAAACTACCTATTTTGGATTCAAAACGGCGAATTTCGCCGAAAGGTGACAAGTTTGCATCCCTGTACATGCTACATTCATGACTTCTTTACAATCATCAACTTCAACGACGATTCGGTAGGAGAAAGAAGGTAAATACGTCCTATTAGAGCTAGCTGTTGTCGCCTCTGCATGCGCCAAGCTCAAAATACCCAGCTTTGCAGCATTAATTACTATGGTATAACATTACAAAACTGTTGCCCCTGCCCCCCGCCTCCGACATAAGCGTGACGTATGCGGTGCTTGCTTTCTAGACCGACAACTTTTTGGTGCTTGAAAAGAACCGGATTCCGGAGCTTATGCCCCTTTCACACCAACGCGTTTTCAGGGCAGGTGTTATTGCCGTAGGTTGAAGCCTTGCCGTAGATTGAAGCCCTGTTCGCGGGGACGCGCACAGGTGACGTCATCGGCTGTATTGAGCTTCGCCTAGTTTTCAAAATGTTTTCTCTCTTTTGAATGATATATTTCACATCAGATTAAACAGCAAACGGCTGAATAAATAATGTGCATACAATTGCAAGGTTGCTCGTTTTAAGGAAAGACAATGAAAGGATAAGATGTCATTTGTCAGTATAGTCCTATTTCTTAAAACCTTCGCTGTTGTTTAAGTGTCTGATAACCACGAATAGTAAGCAATGATATAACAGTAATGATATAACATATATGATAATGTAAGACACTGTGTTATTTTCAATCAAGCCTAAAAGATAATTTGTTCAAACTAGCTCACTCGCTTTAATTGCTCCTTTGAATGTAATTGTCCTCTGTGGTTTCCTACTCAACACATTTTTGTATTGTAATGCCACTCATATTTTATTTTTTATTTTATTTTAAGGTGACATTGAATGTTTTGAAAGGTGCCCTGAAATAAAGTTTATTATTGATCTTATATCTGTGCCTATATCACGCTATTAATGTTCCTTATTTTAGACTGGGTTAATCCTGGTGTCAATAGGGAAGATCTGCACTGTTCTCTACATAACATGTTCAGCAGAGCAGGTATTTCTCCTGCCAGATATGGCACCCCCCCCTACAACTTTGTCCAGGAAGGTCACACCGTCACCAAAATCACACTGGTGTTGCCTGTTCCCCTCTAGTGTGTGCTCACAAAAGCATTTTACTCTGGGCCCAACAGGTAAAAAACGAAAGAGGGGCTTCCATATCCGGCAGAGAAGATGTTGTAGCTGCCGGATTTGGAAGCCCCCCTATATCTTTGTCCAGGATGGTCATAGACTCACCAAAATCACACTGGTGTTGCCTGTTCCCCTCTAGTTTGTGCTCGCAAAAAGCATATTACTCTGGGCCCAGCAGGTAAAAAACGAAAGAGGGGCTTCCATATCCGGCAGACCAGGTGTTGGAAGCTGCCGGATTTGGAAGCCCCCCCTATATCTTTGTCCAGGATAGTCACAATTTCACCAAATCACACTGGTGTTGCCTGTTCCTCTCTAGTTTATGCTCACCAAAGCATTTTACTCTGGGCCCAGCAGGTACAAAACTAAAGAGGGGCTTCCATATCCGGCAGAGAAGGTGTTGTGGCTGGCTGCCGGATATGGAAGCCCCCCCTATAATTTTTCACCTGCTGGGCCCAGAGTAACATGCTTTTGTGAGCACAAAGTAGAGGGAAACAGCAAACACCAGTGTGATTTTGGGATGAGTCTATGACTATCCTGGACAAAGATATAGGGGGGCTTCCAAATCCGGCAGCTACAACACCTGGCCTGCCGGATATGGAAGCCCCTCTTAAGTTTTTCACCTGCTTGGCCCAGAGTAAAATGCTTTGGTGAGCATAATCTAGAGGGGAACAGGCAACACCAGTATGATTTTGGTGAAGTTGTGACTATCCTGGACAAAGTTGTAGGGGGGGTGCCATATCTGGCAGCACCTTCTCTGCCGGATTTGGAAGCCCCCTCTTTAGTTTTTCACCTGCTGGGCCCAGAGTAAAATGCTTTGGTGAGCACAAACTAGAGGGGAACAGGCAACACCAGTGTGATTTTCTTGAGTGTATGACTATCCTGGACAAAATGAAAGGGGGGGGGTTCCAAATCTGACAGGAGAAATACCTGCTCTGCTGAACATGTTACGTAGAGAACAGTGCAGATCTTCCCTATTGACACCAGGATTAACCCAGTCTAAAATAAGGAACATTAATAGTGTGATATAGGCACAGATATAAGATCAATAATACACTTTATTTTAGGGCACCTTTCAAAGCATTCAATGTCACCTTAAAATACAATAACAAATAAAATATGAGTGGCATTACAATACAAACATGTGTTGAGTAGGAAACCACAGAGGACAATTACATTCAAAGGAGCAATTAAAGCGAGTGGAGCTAGTTTGAACAAATTATCTTTTAGGATTGATTGAAAATAACACAGTGTCTGACATGTTATATCATTAAGCAATAGCTCACGACAGGCCGTGGTATATGCTCATTATATCACAGCTAAGGGGCGTGGTTCGGCCCGACGCAAAATGCTGTTGTGTTTTCTGAAATGCTGTGGTGTTTTCTGAAATGCTGTGGTGTCTTGCACTTCCGGGCCACCGTAGAAAACAATGAAATTCTGTTTAGAGTTTAGCAGTCTAGAGCCCTGTTGATTTAAGTTTTCAGAATTGTTTACATGGTTGCATTTGAGTTTAAACAATGAAGAATTAAAAAAGCGTTCGTTACACTGAGTGAATCATATTGGTTGCTAGGAAACATCTGGCAAAATCAATCAAAGATGTAAACAGGAAGTCACCTGTAGCAAATAGTGAGTGCTAAAGCTACAGTAGCATATACAAGGAGATGGTAACATCTGATCATTCACATTTACTCTGAGGTGGGAGAAGTACTCGGATCTTGTACTTGAGTAAAAGGAGAAGTACTCAGAAAAGTAGAAAAGTATTAGCATCAAAATATATTTAAAGTAGCGACAGTAAAAGTAGTCATTGTGCAGATTGGTCCATTTCAGAATAATATATATGATATGTTTTATAATGATTGATCATTAAAGTGTTCTCAAAGCTGGTAAAGGTGCAGCTAGTTTGAATGACTTTGTATACTGCAGGGTAGCTTGTGGATTTACTCCAGGTGGAACTAAAGTCTGATTTAACACTTGATTATATTTCACATCATTCATCCACATCTGTAAAGTAACTAAAGGTATTAAATACATGTAGTGGAGTAAAAGTTCACCATTTACCTCTGAACTGAAGTACAGTACCTGAGTAAATGTACTTCCTACCTCTGAATTTAACTAATTTATAAAACAATGAAACGAGTTTGTGTGCTTCAACCCTTTTAGTGTCTGTGAGAGCCAACCCCTTTGTATTTATTTAAAAAACAAATCAGTCCGACTCAATCAACCAATCAGTGCGTCTTTGTTATTTTGTTGTATCAAGTTAATAGGTATTTATACTTCTTCCTTTATTCAGCGGTATTTTAGGCTACGACGATTAGGGATGCCAGAAACTGACCATGATCAAATTCGAAAATCGGACAGCCCTGGCGAATATTAATCGATTATTCGATTATTTTGGTTGAAACTAAGCCAGGAAAAAAAAGAAAAACATAAATAATAATAAAAATATATATAAATAAAATCGAATTTTAAAAATAATTTTCGATTATGGAGACTGTAACGAATATTCGAAAAATCGAATAATCGCTGGCATCCCTAACGACGAGTCAGAATGCATTCTCGGGTTTCATTAAAAACCTTACTTTACTTCTGTCACGTCCATTTTTTAACTTGCATCAAGACATTCATATGTGTCCTCTAATACACTTGTGTCACTTTCTCTGTTGATTTATTGTTTTGTTTTATAGGAAGAGACCTGCAAAGACCCAGATAGACTTTATGATGATGGGGAGAAGAGTATCATCGGAGAACAGCTGGATCAACATCAGTCTACATCCACGATAGGAAAACCACACACCTGTGACCAGTGTGAGAAGAGTTTCTGGAGTTCAGGGATATTGAAGCACCACAAACGTACCCACACTAGAGAAAAACCTTTCACCTGTGACCAGTGTGAGAAGAGCTTTAGCAGGTCAGGCGATTTGAAGATTCACCTGCGAACCCACACTGGAGAAAAACCTTTCACCTGTGACCAGTGTGAGAAGAGCTTTAGCCTGTCAAGCTCATTGAAGCACCACCGGAGAATCCACACTGGAGAAAAACCTTTCACCTGTGACCAGTGTGAGAAGAGTTTCTGCAGATCAGGGATATTGAAGCGCCACAAACGTACCCACACTAGAGAAAAACCTTTCACCTGTGACCAGTGTGAGAAGAGCTTTAGCCGGTCAGGCTATTTGACAATTCACAAGCGAACCCACACTGGAGAAAAACCTTTCACCTGTGACCTCTGTGAGAAAAGTTTCACGGACTCATGCTCATTGAAGAGCCACCAGCGAACCCACACTGGAGAAAAACCCTACTCCTGTGACCTCTGTGAGAAGAGCTTTAGCCAGTCAAGCTATTTGACGATTCACAAGCGAACCCACACTGGAGAAAAACCTTTCACCTGTGACCAGTGTGAGAAGAGCTTTAACCGGTCAGACTCATTGAAGGTCCACCAGCGAACCCACACTGGAGAAAAACCCTACTCCTGTGACCAGTGTGAGAAAAGTTTCACGGACTCATGCTCATTGAAGCGCCACCAGCGAACCCACACTGGAGAAAAACCCTACTCCTGTGACCAGTGTGAGAAAAGTTTCGCAGACTCACGCTCATTGAAGAGCCACCAGCGAACCCACTCCTTTGACCAGTGGGAGAAAGAGTTCAGTGACTCATACAGTGTGAAGCTCCACCAGCCTACCCACACTGGAGAAAAACCTGACGTCTGTGCTCACTCTGAGAAGAGTTTCAGAGAACCAGACCACATGGGAGAAAACCTTCACTAGTGCACTGAGACTGTTCAGAAAGAGTGAGGTGGACTGTTTGACACAACTCACTGTTAAAAGATGTTGTGTGGATTTTAAAAGTTGTTCAAATGTTCTCAATAATATTCAAATGCATGCACTTAAGTTGTCAACTTGTATTTTTTCCAACAGCAATAACATACACAAAGCTCCCTAAAGAACAAGGCACCACAGTCACTTAAATGTAAAAATGTTATAAATATGTGGTAATTGAACAACAAGCTAAAGCCTACTGATTTCTAAAAGTGTGTGTTTTGAGCCTTTAGTCTCACATAAGCTAGATAGAGCGTCGCTTTGAACCATAAACTATTACCAATGCTGACTGTACTCATTCAGGCCATTTTACCCTCAGAAAGAGGTTCCACAGGGGTCTATCCTTGGTCCATTCATGTTTACATTAGATGTTACATAACTTTTTCCAGTAGCCACACTTTCTCCTTCGACCTTTTCTCTGTTGGGGAGGTTTGTAAGGCTCTAAAGGGCCTAGACCCCAATAAATCAGCAGGCCCAGACGATCTCCCCCCTTGTTTCTTACGTCTAGCTGCAGATATTATAGCCCAACTTCTTGTTTTCCAAGAAGAAAAAGTTACCAACTGTTCTTCCCTGCATCATGTCTGCCCAGCATAACCCCATTGAAGCTGTTCACACCTACAGAAACTTGACTATTGACTATCTATGACTACTAAGATTGACTATCTTTTAAGGAAACTGAAATTAAAACTGGGATTCTTTTTTAGAAACAAGGCCTGCTTCTCCACAAGTGCTAGGAAACGGCTTGTCGCTGCCACATGTTTCCCGCTCTTGGACTACGGGGATGTTGTGTACATGAACGCCTCAGCTCACTCCCTTCATCTGCTGGACGCTGTTTACCATGGGGCTCTGAGGTTCATAACCAACTGTAAACCCCTCACACACCATTGCACACACGATTAAACGTGATAGTATATAAAACCATGCTCGTATCTACAACCTATAGAAATGCAAAACGGCGTCAGTTTAGACGTTATTCTGTCCTCCTGCTTACCGCATCATTTATGAGAAAACATTTCATAACATTAACACAACATATTCGAGGTGGTTTTAAATAAGATATCCGTATTTATTTATTTCTCCAAGTTATGTTTTTGTGTGCACTGAGGAGTCTCAAACAGGCGTTTGTTTAATAATTTTAAGGTTGACTTTAATCAATGTCAATTCTTCATATTTGATAAATGAGAGGTAACATTTTATTTATGGTATTATTTCCACATATTTCTCCATTCTTCCTTCTGCCATCGGTGTTGCAGTTTCTCGTCTCTCCCGTTTGTGTGCTTAGTGCGTACCATGGGTTAGAGTTTGCGTGGAGGACCGCACATTTTCCCGTCAAGTTAGTATTTTATAAATCGCAAACATTGCGTAGAAACTGGCATACGCCATTTTTTTAGCGTATATCCCTTTATAAATGAGGCCCCAGAGCCCGACGTGCTGCTTCATTGCGTCATCGTTTATCTGGATAAGTGCAGCAAAGTGCAGAATACCGTTTTGATCATTGATAAATGTGTGGTCTTTAATATTAAACATGATCGCTGGTTGATAGCCACAGAAGTCGTATCACAAGTTATCCTGGGCGGATCACAGCTCCACAGCTGAAGACTTCTCCACGCTGCTTTCAAACTGTGAGTAAACAATGTGTGCTTCACTTGGAGGCTGTCTGAAGGTATACACAGGTCTCAGGTGGACTTGGTATCACATTAAGAATGATATTCAGTAATAAGTCTGGCAAAAATAAATGGTTTAAATGATTTATTCAAGCTTGCAATGTTTTGAACACACATCCCCAGTCACCTCATGTGTCTTTTTGTAGTCCTCGCTGTACGCGTCCGGATATCGGCATCGGAACCACAACCTCACACACTGGTACTGAATGTGCATCAAAGTGTTCCTATCCAACCAAATATACCAAAAGATGAATGTAAACGACAGAAGAAGCGATCAAAATGTGTATTTCCTGGTTATTCGACAAAGGCCACACCCCTGATACATCTGCCTACCGTTATAGAATATCACCAGTTGTTCGTCCCACATTTTATTGAAAAGTACCGGTTTTTCCTCTTCACACCGCAGCGGCGCCGCCTCTTAGCTCCGGAATCCGGTTCGTTTCCAGCTCCAAAAAATGGTCGGTCTAGAAGCAAGACTCCGGAGCTAATGCGGCTTTCACACCAGCGCTTTTCCCTTTCTAGCTCCTAGCTAGAGCTTTTCTGGTTCAGCTCCGGTTTCCCTTTTCTGCTCCCACTCTGTTCACACCGCCCAGAGCTGCCGCTGCTGCGTCATGACCTCACCGTTTACATCGCTGATTTTCTCCCCAACGGAGTTCACAACAACAACAACAACAACGGGGGACTGCGTCGGGTCGATGATCGTGTTGCTTTTAATCATACAAAGCCAGATTAAATTAAATAACGACTTCTCCAACCTTATACTTTTCTCCAGAGTGCCGTGGTTCATTGTTTATTCATGTGTTTCAGCGGCATTTACCGACCGCTGCAGTGCTGGCTGCTCTTCCACGGGAGTTTATTCTCCCGTTAGCTCTGGGTTAGCTCACACGGCTCTAAAGTATTCACTGTCTGACTGTCACACAAGCAGCTGATACATATCCCCAGTTCCCCTTAAGTGAATGTGTGTCAGTCTGAATTGACGCTGTTTGGCATCACAACGCTGTTATGAAAGTTTCTCTGGTATAACATGGGTGATGTTAGCATAGCAACCGAAGCTAAACTGACTACTTGCTAAGCCGTTTTATACAGGCACTTTTTACCGGCGTATTTTTCATTATGATTCTACTTGTGATAGTCGGACATGACAACCTGTGCAGCCCATGTATTGATTCCATCCGATAGCTGCTATAATAACAAACAAAACGTCTGCCTGCTCTCCACAATGATCAATAACAGCGAACGGATGGTCAAAGTAAGGTACAAATAAACAGAATCACACGAAGCCTGGTTAGTGTTGCCTGACTTTATAAAGTGTGTTTTTTTTTTTATAAGTGTGTGGTTGCCTTCTAGTCACTTTGCTCAGCGCTACTGCTTGTAGGCAGGCATGACGAGACTCTTCAGACGACCCATGTTCAGGGGAGGTGGGTTTAGTTTCCTGCACGCCTCGACGTAAGAGAGGCGTAAGCGACGCCGCCTCTTAGCTCCGAGCTCTTGCTTCTAGACCGACACTTTTTTGGAGCTGGAAGTGAACCGGATTCCGGAGCTAAGAGGTGGCAACCGCTGCGGTGTGAACAGAAAAACCGGTACTTTTCAGGCTCTAGCTCCGAGCCGGCGCTGAAAACGCGTTGGTGTGAAAGCGGCATAATGCTGCGTTCACACCGGACGCGATGCGATGTTTGGGGGCAGCGCGATTACATGTAAAGTCAATGCAGAGACGCGGACAGACGCGATTTCGCTCCGACGGCGAGCATGAAGCGGTGGACGCGGCACGAATCACGCGATTGAGGCGATTGAACGGTGCCGCGTTAAACGCGAGAGTTCAATTTTTTCAACTCGAGCGTCACATTCACGTGGCGCGTTTTCGCGGAAGCCAATCAGCGGTGAGGACCTCAGCCTGCCGTCACTGACGTTCAACCACACAACATCAGCCGTTAGCAGTTAGCACACAGAGCTCACAGCTCCTCATATCTGTTCAGAAACTGGACAAAAGTTAAACAAGTACAAACCACAGACTGTCTGTGTCATGGAGAATACAGTCGCTGGTTTATTTATGTCTGTAAGCCGTTGATATGAGTGTGGAATGAGCATATACAACGTTAGCTTAGCCTGGTCGACCCGATCTTCATTCAGAAAACAAGCATTTTAAAAGGTTTTTCGCCTGCTGTCTTGTCTGCAGACTTGTCAAGCATTAATTCATGGTTTTTACTAACCGGTATCAGTATGTTGTTACTTCGGCATCATTTAGAAACGTGTATTACAATTTAATCACGGTAAAATATGTTCATTTGTTGTAGTTGTAGCTCCCGAGCCAGCGCGTCTTGTTTGAATGATGCGAGTAAACACAGCTGGCAGCCGCGGTGAAACTCGAGCGTTTAGAGCAATGCGATAGGAGCGATTAGAGCGAAGCGAATATTCGCATCGCGTCCGGTGTGAACGCAGCATAAGAAGCGGCGGCGCTTACGTCTCTCTTACGTCGAGGCGTGCAGGAAACTAAACCCACCTCCCCTGAACATGGGTCGACTGAAGAGTCTCGTCATGCCTGCCTACAAGAAGTAGCCCTGAGCAAAGTGACTAGAAGGCAACCACACTTTATAAAGTCAGGCAACACTAACCAGGCTTCGTGTGATTCTGTTTATTTGTACCTTACTTTGACCATACGTTCGCTGTTATTGATCATTGTGGAGAGCAGGCAGACGTTTTGTTTTGTATTATAGCAGCTATCGGATGGAATCGATACATGGGCTGCACAGGTTGTCATGTCCGACTATCACAAGTAGAATCATAATGAAAAATACGCCGGTAAAATGTGCCTGTAGAAAATGGCTTATGCCACAATAGGATAGCAATAGCAAGTAGTCAGTTTATCTTCGGTTGCTATGCTAACATCACCCATGTTATACCAGATAAACTTTCATAACAGCGTTGTGATGCCAAACAGCGTCAATTCAGACTGACACACATTCACTTAAGGGGAACTGGGGATATGTATCAGCTGCTTGTGTGACAGTCAGATAGTGAATACTTTAGAGCGGCCGCTGCCATGTGAGCTAACCCGGAGCTAACGGGAGAATAAACTCCAGTGGAAGAGCAGCCAGCACTGCAGCGGTCGGTAAATGCCGCTGAAACACATTAATAAACAATGAACCACGGCACTCTGGAGAAAAGTATAAGGTTGGAGAAGTCGTTATTTTATTTAATCTGGCTTCGTATGATTAAAGCAACACGATCATCGACCCGACGCAGTCCCCGTTGTTGTTTGTGAGCGCCGTTGGGGAGCAAATCAGCTATGTAAACGGTAACGTCATGACGCGGCAGCACCAGTCCGGCTCTGGGCGGTGGTGAACAAAGCGGGAGCAGAAAAGGGAAACCGGAGCTGAACCAGAAAAGCTCTAGCACGGAGCTAGAAT